AAATCACTGGTTGTTGTTGTTGTTAAGTGCCATTGAGTCAGTTCTGACCCATAGCAACCCTGTACAGGGTTTCCAAGGAGCGGCTGGTGAGCTTGAACCACTGAACTTGTGGTTCAAACAACTTTGCAGTCCAGCGCATTAGCCTACAGTGCCACACCAGAACTCCAAAATCACCGGAGAGTGGCCTGAAAAACAGATTTCTCAGGCACCAAAAATATAGAGTTGGAGGTGTCACCCTGGGAAATTCTATTTCAGCAGGTCCTGGTCAAGGTCTAGAGATGAGTTTTTCCAATTCTGCCAAGAAATTCACAGCCATTCATTCAAGAAATACGTTTAACATTTCAACTTGCTGGCAGGGCAATCTAAAAGCTGGAGAAACTGCTCTGAACAGACTACAGATCTTCAGACTAGAAAAAGAACAGGCAGTGAACGAGAAACAAATTAAATTACAGTGATGAGACAAGCCACAAAGGAAATCAAAAACTAGCAAAGTATCATTATTGTGGGAACCTACATTAGATAAACCTAAACAGAAGGCATCCCTCTGAAAAAGTAACATGTGAACTGACAGCTAGGGTTAAAAATGCAGTCAGCCATGTGACAATCTAAGGCAGGGGTCTATCCCTGCCAAGGCAACCACAGTTCCAGCTATCACTGTGTTGTTGCTGTTGTGAAGGGCCATTGAGTCGGTTCCCACTCATAGCAACCCTGTATAGGATTTCCAAGGAGCAGCTGGTGAGCTTGAATCGCCGACCTTGCTTTTCAAACCAACTTTGCAGTCCAGCGCATTAGCCCACACCACCACATCAGGATTCCAGCCATCACGTTAATGTTGACTTAATTAAATGTTTGACCAAATATAGTAGGCTAATTTTTTTTTTTAAGTTTTTATTGTGAATTGAGTGATAGTTTACATTGGAGAACATCAGTTTTACGCTCATTGTTTCACTGCAATGATTACAATCTCCTCATTATTCAACAGCATTTGCTTCTATTCCCTCTGGGTTTTTGTGGGGGGAAGGGGAGTATACAAAAAACACTCAGGAATATATAATCATTTAAACAACTAAAGGGCACATTCTGCAAGCCCGCCTCCTGGCCACTAGCATTGGTTGCCAGCACACACCCTTTCTCTTTCCATGAGTCTAGAGTCCTCAGCTGCTCTATTTCTTCATGCCCTCATCTCTGTCTCCATCTCTGGTGTCACTGCTTCTCTGGATAGGATCCCACATTCCACTTGTGCTCTTCTCCTTTGATGGTCCTAGAGTCCTCTGTTTCTGGTCTGTAAGATTAACCACTCCCCCTGTTTTTTACAAAATTTCTACCTTTACAGTTGTGACCATGACAATTAGCCATGATAACAATTACTATTGAATCATGAGAATCGTATCCCCATCTCTTTTCACCAGACATGTCTAGACAAGATGAATACTATTCATTGGCGATTCTACCTTCCCCTGCACACTCTGAAACTAAACTCCCTCTTGAAAATTTGTAAACCAGTCACTTCATGTCTTTATAGCCCCCCCTGTCCCATTTTAGGTAGCCAGTGTCTAAGTTGCCTATCTCTGTATACAGAGGGGACAGGATTGATCCTTGATGTGAAGACTACTTCACGCTCAGTATTCTGAGCTACTGCATCCATAAGTATAGGTCAAGTTCGTCAAATCGTAGCAATTTATACTTGTTTCTTTTATCAAGTGTAATTTGACATCAAGTGTATTTTTTATCTTCCTCTAGTGGAGTTCTGATCATCAAATCCTCGAAGCTAGGGTGAATGGATACTATCTACACGTTTGGGTGTTCTTATGCATCTCTCTCCCCTCACTTCAGATCAGCTGGATGCTTTGCTCTCAGATCTAGCCCTCTGTGTGGCTATGTCCTTGTCCATGGGCTCAGGAATCCCCAGGTCTCACCACACTGTGGCCCAACCAGCCCTTCCTCTTCTCTCTCATCTCCATGTTGACAGGAACTTAGGGAACATGGTGGAACTCAACCCATATCTTCATTGCTGGAGATAACTAACCAGGAGACCAGCATGGTCGCCAGCAAGCCTTACATGCCTGCTCACATGTTACCTTTGAGTTTCAGTACTGGGAGGGGGGGTTTGTCCTGAAGGGACTTGACTGCTTGCCTTGATGGTGCCCCAGAAAACAACTTGCTTGTTCTTGAGGTAGCCAATCAGACTGCCATTTTTGTTTTAGATTTTTCCTGCTGATCTTTCTTTCAAGAAGTATCTTCTGTTCCGCTAGCCACTCCAAGCTGCTCAAGCAGGCTAATTTTTAAGTTGATAAGGAACTCTGGTAGCTTAGTGGTTACGAGTCAGGCTGCAAACCTCAAGGTCAGCAGTTCGAAACTACCAGCTGTTCTGCAGGAGAAAGATGAGGCTTTCTGCTCCCGTAAAGATTTACAGACTCCAAAACCCTATAGAAGATCCTGTGAGTCGCAACTGACTTGATGGCCGTCAGTAACAAAGAGTTTACCAGACTAGATTGGAGCCCTGGTAGTGAGCTGAGCTACTAATCGCAAAGTCAGCAGTTTCAGTCTGCCAGTCTTTCTGCGGGAGAAAGATGACTCCAAAGGAAAAAGTTACTGTAAAGGCTTCACTTAAAACCCAGTGGCTGAATGCAACCTTGTGGTTTATTCCTTACTTTCCTTCTTTCTCTGTTGCTCTAGGTGGATAGAGAGCAATTGCGGTGCTTGGAGTGCTGTTTGCAAGCTTTTAAGACTCCAGGCACTCACTATGCAACAAACAAACTAAGAGGTAGAGCAGAAGCATTAAACACGCAAGGTAATTTAAATGAGATGTCCCCTGAAACCAAACTCTAAACCGCCAAGCCAAGGAACCAAATCCAGTGAGGTATCTAGTTGTACATAAACAGCCTCAGCAGCTACTCTTTTATTTTTGTTGTCAATATGTGTATTTCTGCTCCCATAAAGATTTATAGCCTCGGACACCCTATGCCAGGTCATTATGAGTCAGAAATGGCTCCATGGCACACCACCACCATCATACCTTATTGACAGCAATTGTAATAATTGGCTGTGCAACCCCACCTACCCTTAATTAATATAACACTGTTAGCCTTCCATGTACCCCTTCCTCCTACCCCTCGTAAGCACTAATAAACTTTGGTGTCTTTCTTGTCTTTTTACATAAATGAGGTCATTTTGTGAAAATGTGCCCACTGGCTGACTAGCATTCCATTGTGTATGTCCAACATTTTGCTTACCCATTCTTTTGCTGATGGGCATTTTGGCTGTTTCTACTTTCTGGTGACTGTGAGCAGTGCTGCAATGATCACTCATGTCCGACTATCTATCTGAGTTTCTGTGAAGGAGTAAAACTGCTGGGTCATATGGTAGTTCCATTTCAGCATTTGTTTTTGAAACTGTGCAGGATAAATAATTTTCATTACTATGTGGTCCTACCATCTCAGAGTATCCAGATTTCTGCTGAAATATTAACAGCAATGTATCCTAAATTTGAGATACTGCTATAATCAAGTGTGTTTAGGAGAAACCGTGACATCTGGTAAAGAGCTGTTATTGAGCACTTAAGTTAGCCCAGCTTGCTATGAGCTCCGTAAGTGCTCACAGCAATAGTCTATGCTGTTCCAAAGACTGTTGTTATTATCCCCTTTTTACAGATGAAGAAATTGGGGCTACTGAGATGAAAGGACAATCTTAAGGTCCTCCAACTAAGACATGCCAATCCCCCAACTCCATCTGGCTTGGAGCCTCAGTTCTGGGCCTTTCTGCGCCCTATGAATGGTACCCCTTTTCCCAGTTTTCAAAGCCGATCCTTCTCTCTTCTCCCCAGCCCCATTATCTACTTGGGTCATCTAAACAGTCCAGATTTATCAGTGTCTCTCTCCAGAGTCCTTAGGGAGTAATGTGCAAAGAAGTTCTTGTTCCCACTTTTGAGAAGTGGAGGTACCATGGTGGTGCTCACTGTGCCCTGGTGTGGGAAGGGGTCCATACATAGCTCAGCATGCCTGCCCATGCCCACCTGTGGAGGAAGAATGTATCCAGAGGCTCAGCGTTCAACCAGAAAAGGGCTCAAAGGGAAGGGATGCCTCAGGTTCCAAACAAGGTAAATCGTGAAAGTAAAGAGGAAGTGGTATATAAACTACATATGGGATGTTGTTGCCAAGTGCTGTCATGTTGGTTCCAACCCATAGCCACCCTGTATAGGGTTTCTAAGGATTGGCTGGTGAGGTTGAACCACCGAACTTGTGAATCAGACTTTGCAGTCCAGCGCATTCCCACAGCACTACAGCAGGACTACATAGATGGGATGTTGTTGTTGTTGTTGTGACGTGCCGTTGAGTCAGTTCTGACCCATAGCGACCCTATATAGGGTTTCCAAAGAGCGACTGGTGAGCTTGAACCACTGACCTTGCAGTTCAAACGACTTGGCAGTCTGGCATTAACCCACAGCGCCACAACAGGACTCCATAGATGGCATTGTTGTCGTTGTTAAGTGCCCTTGAGTCTGTTCCCACCCATAGTGACCCTGTATAGGGTTTCCATAGATGGGATGGGACCCTCTAAATGTAAATATTCAAATTCAGTGGTTTCAAAAACAAACGGCCTGTAAGCTGGTTACTTTACAACTTAAAGAAGTTTCCATTTCCCTTTTCCTGAGCTGCTTTTATTCCAGACTTGATGGGAACGGGTCCTTGGTTAGTAAGTCTCTGGGTGTGTCTGTCAGTGAGTGCGGGGCATCCTGGTCTGTCTTTCCCCCTGCCAGCAGACTGACTGGCTCCTTCTATACTCCCCGCCTCCCCTCGCTCCCTCCCTCCTCATAGGGAGGCTCTTGGCCAGGTCCGGAGCCTGGGAGAGTGCAGGCGGAGGACACAGAAGGGGTGAGGTCACGTCTCCCCTGAGCCCCTCATGCTGGGGCTTTTCAGAACCTCGCCACAAGCTGGAGGCCAGAGCCCCAGACTGTGCAGATCCTGCGCTCCTCCACCTGCCCTGCACTGCCAGCCTCGCCCATGTCTCAATTCGCCTCCAGTTCACACTTCAAGAGCTCTCTGGACAGCAGTCCGGAGGCCAATCCCGAAGATGAAAAGGCTGAGGAGGAGGTGCCCAGACCCAAGAACTACCTGTGGCTCACCATCATCTCGTGTTTTTGCCCAGCGTACCCCGTTAACATCGTGGCTTTAGTCTTCTCCATCATGGTGAGTACGGTGCATGGCCGGAAACAGCCAGGGAAGGGCGACCCGGTCTGAGCGCACTCTCCAAGTTTCCCTTCCCCTCTGTGCTGCGCAGCCGGGGGGCTCTAGTGCTCCGCAACTCCTCTCTCCTCTCAGGCTCTAGGAACCCTCCTGAAGCTTTCAGTGCCTCCTTGCGTTCCTTGTGGTTCTCAGAGCCCTGGCCAAATCTTTCCCAGGCTGGCTTTTCAATTTCTCTCCAGCGCCCAAGGTGTGCTCTCTCGCCATCCCGCCCAAGTTCTTCCGCAAACTTTGTGGCTTCTCTCCCAACTTCCTCCAGCGTTCAGAGGCATTCTTCAGGGTCTCCTCTACCCACTTTACCAGAGCCCTGGAGCTTACCACGGGTGCGCAGTGGCTCTGTAACATAAGCACTGGACTGCTTACCACAATGTCGGCAATTTGAATCCACCAGTTGCTCCGCAGGAGCAAGATAACGCTTTCTGCTCCCGCAAAGATTTACAGACTCCAAAACCCTATAGAAGATCCTGTGAGTCGCAACTGACTTGATGGCCGTCAGTAACAAAGAGTTTACCAGACTAGATTGGAGCCCTGGTAGTGAGCTGAGCTACTAATCGCAAAGTCAGCAGTTTCAGTCTGCCAGTCTTTCTGCGGGAGAAAGATGACTCCTTGGTAGAGATTTACAGCCTCCGAAACCCTACACAGGTTCCCTGTGAGTAGGGACCGACTCCACGCCACACTAGAGCACCAGAGTTTGCCAGCTTCTCAATATCGGTGCTCTGCCATGACCCCTGCTCCACCGCCAATCTCTGCACCTCTACTGTGTCCAGGGCCACCTTATTCCGAGGATCCCCGACACCCCCTTGGCCCCTGATCCCGCTCTTTGGCTCCTCTCTAGTAGACAACAGTTCCTTCTTGCTTCTTTCTGTCCAGATCCTCCTTGTCTCTTTCTAACAAGCCCTCAGGCCTTCCTTTCTGTGAGCCTGTGTCAGACTCCCACCTGCTCTCTCCCAGCACCCCCAGCACCTGCAAAGTGCACACTGGTGGTGGTGGTTATGTACTGTGGAGTCAGTTGTGACTCATAGTGATAGTGACGATGTACAGGGTTTCCGAGGCTGTAAATCTTTACAGGAGCAAAAAGTCTCATCTTTCTCCTGTGGCACAGCTGGTAGTTTCCAACTGCTAACCGTAAGGTTACCAGCTCAATTCATAACCACTACGCTACCAGAGCTCCTTAGCCTCTCTTTTTTTTGTACTCTTTCTACCCCTGTTGCTTCCTAATTTGCTGTGCACAAGACTCTATCCTCATCTCTTCTGTCGTCCCCGCCCCCTAAGGGATTCCTGGTGCCCCACAGTCCATCTGCTGTGCCCAGCGTGCAGGTAAAGTGTTAGAGATTGTACACCCTGTGCCACTCGGCAAGCCCTCCATGCGCCAGCCTCCCAAGCTGTGCACCACTCTGGAAGTGAGACCTTAGTGCTTCTTGCAGTCCACCCTTCAGAAGCTCAGCTCTGATGCTCTTCAGCCCACACAGGAATTCCAGGGCCAACCCTCCCCCCAGAAGGGAGGCAGACTGCTGTCAGGTTCCTGCCTTACTGAATGGAGCAGCTGGCTATCCTGGGACAACCCCTGCAGTGCACCCCCCTTCTTCTGCCTGCCCACCTGGCTTCCAGTGCCCACCTCACTTCCAGCTGGGGGAGCTCGGGAGTAGAGGACTCTCATCCCTGAAGACTGTGAGAGCCCTCTACTCCCAAGGTCTACCCACATCTGCCATACATGGCATGATGTTCTCTTTGTGGGTAACCACAGGGAGTCCGTTTGCCCTTCCCCAAATGCTATTTGTAGGTTGTATCTACACCAACACTTGGTGAAGTGCAAGGGCACAGAGGCTTAATTTTCTACTGCCTGGGTTTAAACCCCAGTTCCACCTCATACTAGCTGTAGGATCCTGGCAAATCACTGCCTCTCTATGAACCCCTGTCTGTCTTTCTATCCAATGGGAAGAATAACAGCCCCTATTTCTTGGCACTGTGGTGAACACTGTGACTCTATACAGGGTTTGTGAAAAGCAGCTGGTGGTTCTGAAGTTCTGACCTTGTGGTTCACAGCCCAGTGCTGGTCATACAGTGCCACACTAGGAGTCCTGATGAGATCTTTATTGTTAGAGGACACTTCATGAGGCCTTCACTCAACACTGTTTGAAGATGAAACCCCCACAAGACCTATGCCCCGCTCCTATTTTTACCACAGCACCTCTCTCCATCTTATTGATTACGATGCTATTTATCAGCACCTAGGACAGAATCTGGCACCTAGTAGAGGCTCACACAAACATACAGAAGGAATGAATGGCCATGTCTGGATGACACCACCTACTCTGTTCCTACTGCTGCAGGCCACCCTGAAGTCTGTGAAGCCAGGGAAGCAGTCACCCATCCGTCCCTCTGTCCATCCCTTCCTCTTCCCAGATACCCAGCCTGGCCCTTTGCTGTTTCTGCAGGGAAGCTGGGGTGGCTGTGGCAGCCAAATTCTCCAGGCAGCAGCAGACTCTGGCTGGCGTTGGTGCCCACACTCCATTCTGGTTTCTTAATGAGGCAGCCAATCATGCCCCCACCCCAGTCATTTAGAAAAATGCCTACAAAGGCCTTTCCCCACTGGTTTGAGACCAGCTCGCACTCCAGCTGGCACCGGATACTAATGACGCCATGCTGTGTTGTCCTAGAGAATGAAGTTTGTACACGCTTTGAATAGGAACCTTTTTCTTCCCCTTTTGTCCCCTTGTCCCCCTCCCCTCCAAGCTTTTTTTCAGTAGTTTTAAAGACTGACAGACCAGACACTGAAGTCAGTTAACTATAGGCAAGTTGCCAGTTACCACCTTTATAAAGTCTTGCTTCTTCATTCTGTAAATTGGGACTACGAAAAGTACTTTATGTATGACTCATGAGACAAAATTAAGCATGTTAAGTCCCTGGCACTGTGCTAGCTAAGAGCAAATCATTGTCAACAGATGGGTAGATTTGGGGACTGGAGACATCCTATGTCACATATGAACGCAAATGCACTCCCTCTGGTTTCCAAATGAAAAAGCCAGGACATCAAAGTCTAAATAAAGGACAGAAAGAAAGAGAATGAGTGTGCAGAAGACAGGCAGCTGACAAAATGCTAGCATGTGTGTTTGTCCTGCCGGTGTCTTGTGATGCTGAGCCCTGGCTCTTTTCATATCTCACTGATCAATAACACATGACAAATGCAGGCATATCTAATTAACAGTTAGTTCTCAGTTAGGCATGCTACCATTTCCCAAGTGGGCATTGGGCATGTGGGGAGTATCAGTCAGTCCCAAATATTGGGGTGCTACTAGAAGTTTGTAGAAAGGACCAACGGTACTCATGTTCTATAATGCTGGGGACTGTCTTCCCAATGAAAAAAACCTTCAAGCTAACTTAATGGAGCCCAGTTCTGCCCTAACATATATGAGGTCTCCATGAGTCAGAACTGAATCCATGGCAACTAACAACAAATGTCAATAACGTCTCAATTTAAAAACACTACAGCTATTAAGTGTCATCAAGCTGGTTCCAACTCATAGCAACCCTGTATAGGGTTTCCAAAGAGTGAGTGGTGGGTCTGAACTACAAACCTTGTGATTCGCAGTGATTCGCAGTCCAGTGCTTATCCTACAGTGCCACATAATGACTCAAAAACACTGTAAGATGATGCACATTGATAATGACAGGGATGTATGGGATATATTGACAAGGTTCAAAATAATTCATTCCCAGAACTGTAAAAAGAGCCTGCAATCTCAAAACAGTCAATACTTTCATTTATTAAACCAAGTCTGAGAAAGACACCTATGAAAATACACAGCTGAAGTAGAGGCTGAAGAAAAGCAAAGCAGCCTTGAAAAATGTACACTGGAGTAAAGCATTCAAGTGTGGGAGTCTGAGGAGACATTAGGACGCTCATCACAGATGGAATCTGGCACAACACAACCTGCTGTCTTGGAACACCGCTGTGTCAGGCACTGCCAGCTGTGGGAACAGAGCTGTCTTTTGCTTCTCTATATATGAAAGTTGTTAGCATGAAAGTAAATGTAAGCTACACTCAACATTAAGGACAGATATCCCAAGAATATACCCCCAAACAAGGCTACTACAATCCCATATCGCCTCTTCATGAGAACTTTAAAATGACACCCTTTCACCATGCAAACACAAACTTGCACCAGGACACACAGCTGGCTTTCAGACCTCTTGCGTCATGACACACCCCCCATTATGGCCTGCTGTTGGTTGTTGTTGTTGTCGTTAAGTGCCACTGAGTCAGTTCCAACCCATAGCGACCCTGTACAGGAGGGTTTCCGAGGAGCAGCTGGTGAGCTTGAACTGCCGACCTTGCAGTTCAAACGGCTTTGCAGTCTGGTGCATTAACCCACAGCGCTACACCAGGTGGTGGTGTTAGCTGCCATCAAGTTGCCACCCAACTTGTCCACCCAAGGTACAACAAAACATGGACAGTTGTAATCCATATGGTTTTCATGGCCTGTTTTCAGAAGCAGATCTCCAGGTCTCTGCTGAAATCTGCTGAAACCTCCACTGACAGATGGGTGGTGGCTATGCTTAAATACATTGGCCAGGTATTGAACTTGGGCCTCTCATGGAGATGGTAAGAATGCTACCACTGAACTATCAGTACCTCCATTCTAGGTTATCTGTGCTAATTCAGTATAACAAAAATCCCAACATTTTCTAATATGGCTCTTAATCCAGGTGAAAGAATGTTTATTAATTGAACAAACATTTACTGAGCATCTATTATGTGCCAGAAGTCTTGATGTGATGATGCAGATCAATACAATGGATTGCAAGCTCAGTTTGAACTGCAAGGTGGGCAGTTGAAGCTCACCAGTCACTCCTTGGAAACCCTATGCAGGGTTTTAACAACATTTAACAACAACATTATGTGCCAGGTTCTGTTTCAGGTCTTGGTGTACTCGTTTACCTCTACT